AACAGATAATGACAGTGATGAGCCAGCAGGCACTCCTGAAGCATGAGCAAGACTCTGGGAATGCAGAAGGCCAGGCCTGCCTGGGGAGTGAGGGAGGCTTCTTGGTGAGATTGGTGAGCTGAATTCCAGAAGGAAGCAGGGAGGGTCCATGTGGGGGAAGAGCATTTCAGGCATCAGTGGCCAGAGCACCCAATGCAAAGCACACAGGCCAGTCATAGGAAAGGAGGTGAGACCTTATTGGCAGTGTTTGATTTAAAACAAATTTTCATCCTGAAAAATGTGCATGTGTATATATTGTAAATAATAATTTAGGCTAATAAATAAGATTGCTGATTTTCCCCATTGGCTTGAGTTTATCAAAGTCTGTCAAATTATAAAGCCAAGTCCTTATAAGCTGAATTCTCATGTTACTGAATTTTAATGTCTACCTATCCCAGCAAAAGTGATGTGATTGTGCTTGTTGAAATTTCATATCCAGCTCTGGCCACTGTGGCTCAGTTGGTTGTTTTCCCATGCACTGAGAGGTTGCTGGTTTGATTCCAGTCAGGGCACATGCCTGAATTGTGGACTTGATTCCCACTAGGGGGTGTGCAGGAGGCAGCTGATTGATTTTTTTTTCTCTCCTCCCTTCCTCTCTAAAATCAATAAAAACATATTTTAAAAAATTACATATCCAGTCTTATAGCTGATGATATCATACATTATGCTTTCAAATAAGGTTTAACCTTGCTGTAGTATTCAAGAGTAAAAGCAAAGACAAGTAAATCAGAGAAAGAAAAATTGGTGAAAAAAATTGTTTTACTTGCAAGCAAAACCCCTGAAGCAGGGATATGTATTTCGAAGTACAGTGATATTTATTCTTCAGGCCTGCCACTAGGGGGCAGCAAAGGTTAGGAAGTGAACAGTGTGTGTGTGTGTGTGTGGGGGGGGGGGGGGGGACACGCGGAGGGAGGAAGCAGGAGTGGTGGAAGGGTGCAGACACACTTCTCTTCTGCCTGAACTAGGCCTAGACAGGAGAGGGTCAGTGGTGTGCTGAGATGAAGAGATGCCTGATGGAGTGGGAGTTCCTTGACTAGGATCCTACCTTCCGAATCTTTCTATGCCTAGGTGCATATGGAGAGTTGGTAAACATCTGTTCAATGGGGAAAAGAATAGGAAGGAGCAGAATTCAGCATATTTAATAGACTTCTTGGAAAATAAGAAAACAGTTCCCTCTAGAAAGCTACCCACACTGGAAGACTTTGTGTACAAATACAGGGATGGGCTATTGGGTCTCTGTGGTAAAGGAAGTGAATTAGCCTCAAAAGGCTGAGATTTCCCCAAGCTGGAAACATACCCAGACCCGTTCAGAGTCTAAACACTTAGCGTAGAAGCGTGAAATGAGACACACTTTGTAAATCCTTGGCCAGTACCTGGGAAACAGTAAATGCTCAGTAAGCCTAGTGGGCCGTTATCATTGGTGCATATGTTGTGTTTCATTCTCAACTAAACATTACAACTGGTGGTGAGTGTGCATGTCAGATATGTTCTATAAGAAGGAACAGGACTCACTTGCTGGTTACAACTCCTAGGGCAGTGGTTCTCAACCTTGGCTGCACATTAGAATTACCTGGGAATCACCGGAAGGATGAAGCCCAGAAATCAGGATTTTAAAAAGATTTTCAGGAGCCTAACTTTTCAGTCTTTTTATCAAATACCTATATGATTACAGTAGAATAGACTCATTACAGCTGAGGGCAATTCAATGATCAGTGTAAATATTTAAAATAATAAGTGTGGTAGACTGAAATAAAAATAAGAAATAAGGGTCAATAAGTAAGGGTCATCCCTCTATTGCCTACACAGGATCTGAGCCACATGGGCCATTTTTACACGGAGAAGTAGCCTCAATTTCCAACCTGATGCACAGCTTCATAGAAGAAGGTTTTGGATACACCATCCCACAGGGTCTAGAGTTGGCTTCTCAGGCCAGGCTAACATTAACCCTTTTACACACAATCTTGCTCTGCTGTGCATCTCTCCAACCTAGTTCATTCAATTTCTCCCCATTCCACCAATCTCCCCATCTGCTTAGTTGGCTGTCTCTTGGTTTCTCTGTTGACCCCTCTCTTTTGCCTCAACAGTGAATATGCCTAACTTTTTGTTGGCATTCTTCACCTGCTGGGCTCCATCATAAGAAAGTTTGCCTTAATACACTTGTAATCCCATCTCAGAACAAACAAACAACTATCTCTCAAACCCTCCCACAGTCTCTAGCATACAGTGCACATTATTTGTGGCTTGGAACTGATATTTTGGGTTCTGTTGTTTGTAAGAAACAATACCTCTTAATAACTCTACTGTCACTTTGATTATGAAAAACTCCCAACACATTTAAGAGGAGAAACAATAGTATCATGAATCCATGGGAGTCCCTTTACTTGGCATGAAAAATTACTGAAATTTTCTAATCATGTTTCAATTCTTTTCCTTTTTGCTTCCTTTTTATGTTGGAATGCTTGTTGAAAAATCTAAGCTATCATACACTTTTATCCTAAATATCTAGTCTACATCCTAAGTTCCCCATGCTATCTCAAAAATATTTTTTTTAACTGTGGGTTTGTTTGAGTCAGGATCCAAACAAAATGCACATATTACTTTTAGCTGTTATCCCACTTAAGTTTTGAGTCTTTTCTGCTGTAAATGCACCTCACCCTCACCTAGTTTTCCTGTCTCTCCCTTTTGAAGAAATTAGACAAATTGCCCTGTAAAATGTCCCACAGTTTGATTTGGTGGTGTTATATAACTTGTTCCTCCACCTTCTGTAATTCCTGTTAAAATAAAAGGTAGATCCAGAGGCTTGCTTAGATTCAGCTTAATTTCTTTTTCTTTCTTTCTTTCTTTCTTTCTTTCTTTCTTTCTTTCTTTCTTTCTTTCTTCCTTCCTTCCTTCCTTCCTTCCTTCCTTTTTTCCTTCCTTCCTTCCTTCCTTCCTTCCTTCCTTCCTTCCTTCCTTCCTTCCTTCCTTTCTTTCTTTCTTTCTTTCTTTCTTTCTTTCTTTCTTTCTTTCTTTCTTTCTTTCGACAAGGATGCTTTGGAGGAGGATCATACTACACTAATGTCTGGTTGTCCCCTCTTAGTGCTAGTCACTAAGTTTGATCAGTGGGTGCTGTATTACATGCATGATCCATCCACTATATAGTCCCCATCAGCCTTCCACCTAATGATTTTAGCATCAGTTGATGATTGTTGCCTCAATCATTATTTCTAATAAAAAATTATTTCTAATTAAAAAATTATTTCCTAATTCTATCAATCCTACTTTCATTACATTTATCTATAAAGAACTTTCTCCTATCAACTACTTGTATACCCTAATATAATGTTTACACAGAAAGAAAGATACATCTTTTCTATCTTGTATTAATTTATAGAATAAACAGTTGGTGCTCTGGTCATTTTATTTCCTTAGGATATTTATTAACTCATGAAATGTTATATATTTGATGTGTTTCAATCCAGTAACCCTGTCTTTTTTATGCTTAAATGGGATACCTTTCAGATGGGCCCGTTCATCCTTTTCACCTCATCACATAAGTTTTAAAAAATTTCTTGGCAGAACAAGATGTTCCAGGCTCATCTTACCATTTCCTGTTCCAGACCTAAGTTCCCCACGCTGGGTCACCCCCTCTAAGGAACCCTGGTGCCTGCAGGGTGCTCACTGCTAAAGTTGTTGGTATTGGGGAATTTTCATTTTAGGCATCATATAAAATCAAGTTCATTTTTATTCCAAATCAACAAGGTGAACCAAAATTAAATTACATTTATATGTCTTGATTCATAACTTTGATGCTTAAAGTGACTAATCATAAAGGCTCCATCAAGTGCATGAGCCAGCCTACAGGAAAAACCTGATGACCAAAAAGCTTCAAATCAGCTGACAAGATTCATGCCTTTTTACCAGGAAGGAGGCATAGAATGAAGAAAAGGTTTGTCTAACTAACCCCACATGGGCCGCTGCCCATGCCCAGGCTCATGCTATTATTCTCACTGACAATCAGCACGGATGGGAGATTTGGACACCAGTGCAGACAGGTGTCTGGGCTTGCAGGAGCATCATTCATAAGCCTGAGTTACTAATGCCCTTGACATTCTCTGGGTACACAAACAGGCAGTTCTCCTCTGCTAGTTATAAATATGTGTAGTTATACATCCATCCCTCTCAACCACCAGCCCAATGAATTTTCAGCCAAGGGAACAGACCTATTGAACCAGCATTCAGAGAGAGACAACATAACCATGTTTACAGAGGGTCCCTAGAGCTCAGCCTTAGCAGCTGAGTTCTGCCCGATTTTGTTAGATCACGCTGATTTAATTAATGGAAGCTTTACACCTGCCCTGGCCAAAGCCACAGGTGGCCACCAAGCCCTTGAAATAGGGCTAGTACCACATGTTGAAACGCTGGTGTGAACATACGGAGTTAAATAAATATATTTTACAATTCATTTTACCCTCTTAGTGTGGTTACCAGAAAGTTTTCACTTAACTGTGTGTGTGTGTCTCACTACATTGGAGTTGGGCATCTCTGCTCTAGGCTTAAAGCTGCTCTTTAAGTTACTCGTCTTTTCCACGTCTGTTATCTGTCTTATACCAGACTGTCAGCTCCGCGGGGACACGGGTTCAAGCTGCATCTCCAGCGCTGGCACTTACTAGGAGTAGGTGCCCGGTCATCAGCTGCTCAACGAACGGCCTCTGAGTGGACGAACCCACCCTGCGTGGGGACAGGCGAGCAGGTTGGGAAGTGCTGCCGCACAGGCCTCTCTCACCCAGGACCCGGACCAGCCGCTGAGGCAGCTGCGGCTCCGCACCCAGATACACAGCCCAGAAAGTACCTGGCTGAAGTGGCGGGGCCAGGGGAGGGGAGAGGGTTGGCCCCGCCCCTCCGCCCAACCTGGCTGAGCCAGGCCGCGGTTGCCAGGCGACACCCCGACGCGGTGTGGCTGCCTGAAGCTGGTGGCTTGGCCCTGGGCTCCCAGCGGCGGGATGGAGGCGGGACGGAGCACGGCGACCGCGGGGAAGCGGGACGCGGGCGGCATGGAGGACGAGGAGGAGGAGGAGGAGGAGATCACCGCTGCCTCGCTGCGGGTAAGGCCCCGGCCGCTGCCCCTGTCGGCGCTGTCCGCCTTCAGCTACGTCCCGCCGCGGCGCCAGGACCCCAAGGAGCACAGCTACTTCAACCGCCAGAGCCAGGTGCGCCGCGGGCTGCAGGGCGGGGCGGGGGCCCGGGAGGGGCCGGGAGAGAGGAGAGCCGGGCGGGACTGGAGGGAATGGGGACCTGGCCGCCCTGCCGGGGAGGAGGCCTGGAGGTGGGGCAGCCTTTCCCAGTAGGACTCCAGGGGCGGGTCCGCACCAAGTACGTGCTTGTTACAGGAAGAGCCTGCGGATCGTCGGAGGCCACCTTGCAGCCAAAGGGGGAAGAGAAGCCAAAGAAAAGGAAGCAAATCAGAACTTTCAGGGATCGACTGTTTTCCTAAAGGTCTCCAGTGTCTTGCAGCTCAGGGTGCAGGGACATCATTATGCAAAAGGCACATTGATTGGGGACACTCAGCCTGCAGAGATGATGAGTAGCCCAGAGGGTAAACCGACAGCTGGGAGGAAGAACGGCTTTCCTCAGGGTGTACAAGGTGTTCCCACAAAATGTTCCTCCTTTGGCTCCTTCCCACCCACAATCCGTGGAGCACAAATGAACCGCCATTCGGATCAGACAGCCCACAGTTGAGTACTTGCCACAGGTGGAGTGTAGAACTCACATTGTTAAGAGCTCAGCCTTACAAACAGAAGCGATAGTTCCTAGTTTAGGCAATTGTTATGGGTTGCAGTGTCTCCCCAAAATTCTTGTTAGCGTCCTAAACCCCAGTACCTCAGAATGTGACCTTACTTGGAGACAGGCAATCACATTAAAGTGAGGTCATTAGGATGGGCCTCATTCAGTATGACTTGTGTCCTTATAAAAAGGGGAAATCTGGACACACAGACAAATGCATAGAGGGAAGACGACATGAACAGATGGGGGAGACAAAGGCCTTCTACAAACCAAGGAGAGAGGCTTGGAACAGGTTCACCCTCACAGCCTTGGACGGAACCAAGCCTGCCAGCTCCATCATCTCAGAGTTCAGGCACCAGAACTGGGACACAGTAAATTTCAGCCTGAGTACTTTGTCTTGGCAGCCTGAGCAAACTAACACACAAACTTCAGCTGGGAGGATCCCTGGTATCTCTTAGCAACTTTCTGCGTGGCTTTGAGCAGTGTGAAGGACAATTGGACAGGACAGGCTGAAGAAGAGGACATGGACAGTGTATTTGTCTTTGTAACCCTGTGTACTGACTCTCCTAGGTTTGATTGTCCATCAGGTACTGAGACAGGAGGGGAGTTTAGAGCAATAATTCCCAACCTCGTTGCCACCCTGGACCTCATGAGATATATGGTTTTTTTTTTTTTAAAAAAAAACATATTTTATTGATTTTTTACAGAGAGGAAGGGAGAGGGATAGAGAGTTAGAAACATCGATGAGAGAGAAACATCGATCAGCTGCTTCCTGCACACCCCAAACTGGGGATGTGCCCACAACCAAGGTACATGCCCTTGGCCGGAATCGAACCTGGGACCTTTCAGTCCGCAGGCCGACGCTCTATCCACTGAGCCAAACCGGTCAGGGCAAGAGATATATGTTTTGAAAGAATTTATACCTGTAATTGCTTTCACTTATTAAATGAATTTTACATTTTAAGTATGTAAAACCTGTATCATTGCTAATTAATTTATGATTCATGCATAGCATTAATGCACAGCATGAGAGAACCAGCCAAAGAGCAAGGAGTCTTCATGTTTTAAGTTGGTCCATATTATTTTACTGAGAGAATATAATTTTTGGCTTCTTGACATATGAAATAATTTACAATACACCATTTTATCTGGTATCTTTGAGGGAGATACCAGAGTAAGGGAGATCCATCCTTGAGGGTATTGGGAGATAAGGTAAAAGACTAAGCAGATAAGGGCCAAAATATATATTTATCAGATATAAAAGCCATGTTGCAGGATAATACTTATAAAAGCCATGTTGCAGGATAATACTTATAAAAGCCATGTTGCAGGATAATACCAGGGACTCTGAGGAAATAGGTTTGGGGACAGCTGTGGGTCTCAGAAAAGACCCAGCGGAACTCCCACCCCCTGTGGGCCAGGCACTGCCAGGGGAAAAGGGGCTGAGTTGAGTCTGACAGGCCCAGCTTATTTTTCTGAACTTCACCAATCTGATCTATGGCTCCACCTTTCTGGGGCAGAGTGAACCAATGGGCAGCAAGATATCAGGCAGTTTTAAGTGACTGGGGCTCTGTACTTGGAAGGAGATTAGAAGTGGGCAAGAAGTGTGCCCCTCTAATGTAGGGTCAGCACTTGAAGACCTTTTGGGCAAATATGTCCTGCTGCCTGATTTAATAAAGTTTTATTAGAACAGAGCCACAGGCCCATTGGTTTAGTATGGTCTATGGCTACCACACAGAGTTGAGTAGTATCAACAGAGACCGCTTGACTTGAAAGCCTAAAACAGTGACTATCTGTCTCTTACAGAAAACGTTTGCCAACCCCTGCTCTGATGTAGTACTGCCGCTGGAAAATCAGGGTGGGCCTTCCTTAGAACAATGTAACGCAAAGCAGATTTTAAGGAAAGAAATTTCAGTACAGTTTTGATAGCTGGGGCACAGGCAAATTCAAGTCCTGAGGCCTTTAGTGTCACATGAAGAAACAGACGCAACAGAAATATTAACACCTAAATCCAATCCTCTGGGAATGATCTGAACTGGCATTTAATCAGCTGCAGGGCCCCAGAAGCGGGTCCTCTGACCTGCAGATCACTTGGGCTAACCAGGGTGAACTGTATCACAGGTTTGTGGGGTACTCAGCTGCCTCTAGAGTCATCGTAAGTAATTCCAAGCCCCACTCAAAGCTAAGAAAAAACATTGCAGAATGAGCTCTTAAGTCAATTAGCATGTGGCCCCTGAGTGATAAATTAGTAGCATGGCCAAGGTGTCCTGGGTAGAAATATTGGCTTCGTGTCACTAGCTGTGTGAATTGTCCAAGTCACAAATTCTCTATCTCACTTTGGCCACCTGTGAAACAAAGATCAAACAGTACTGAGCGCCTGGAGTTCTTATGAGAAGAAATGTAATTAATGGTATATAAAGCCCAGTGTGAATAGAGCTATTATAGCTATTGTTTGTTTTTGTTAGTGATTATTAGAGTTCCTTTCTCTGAGGGTTGGTTCTGGGGGCCAGTGTCTTATCTCCCGCGCTCATCCACTGTCTGAGATTAACACAGTGAGGCAGGTAATCTGTGGGTAGATGATCCTCTCGGGCATAGGGAGCCCAAAGGTAAAGCTCTATCAATGCCGCACACGTATCAAAGCCCCAGTAATGCCCTGGTCTCAAGACAAATTTGTCATCTCAAGCTGCCAACTATAATACCATCAGCCCCAGGCCTGCTCCCTAGGGGGCTCTAGCTGCATGGGCTTTCCTATAAAATGTTATTCCAGGGGCAGCAAAGCAAATTCAGTTCAATGGTGCTTTTAAATTACTTTTTTTCTGCCTTGTGCAACAATCCTGCTCCTGAAGTGGAAAAGCTAAGTCAAAGGAGAATGGCTTTTTATGAAGGGGCTGATTAAATTTCTCATTCTAAAAGCTACAACAACAACAAAAATCCCGAGTGGTTTTAGAATATGCTTTCACTCATGCTAAGATGAATTGTGGATAGCTCTGTTTTGAGTGAAGCTTTGCTTAGAAAGCCCCAATTTAGCCCTGGCCGGTGTGGCTTAGTTGGTTGAGTGTCATCACCGAAGGGTTCAGGTTCAATTCCTGGTGAGGGCATATGCCAGGGTTGCAGGCTCAATCCCCTGTAGGGGGCATGCAGGAGGCAGCCAATAGATGGTTCTCTCTCACATTGATGTTTCTCTCCCTCTCTCTCTAGAATCAATAAAAACATTCTAAAAATAAAAAAAGCCTAAATTTAGCTTTGGTGGGATTAGCTGGCTTTCCTTCTAGGTGTGTGGTGGGGACAGAGGCCAGGGCCTGACAATTTCTTTCCCCTCCTGGTGACTGAATGTCCCTTCCCCAATGCAGCCAAGCACTTTGTAAACATAACAATGCGTGTTGACTGTCCAGAGGTGCAGAGGGGGATGTGGAGGGCCTGTACCCATGTCCAGTACACAGGAGGTGTGCAGTAAGAGTTCTCCAGCCGTGTGCACCCGCCCCCCCCCCCCCTTAGGCACCAAGCACATCTGCCACACACACTCAGCCACTCCTAGGGGCTGTGGAGGACAGGCAAGCTCCCGTTCTGTTGCTGTTTTACCGGTTAAAATCTAGACAAGTTTACCTCTGGTGTCCTGCAGACTCTTGCACCCACATGGCTTCCAATCAAAATGTGTGCTAGCAAATGAAGTCATGACTACCCCCCACATATACGTCCTTCCTCTCCCTGCTCCCCCCCTTTACACCTAGTAGTATCTATTCTATTACATATTTTACTTAGTTATTTTATCTCCCCTCCCCCAACCCCCCACCCCCCACAACTAAAATAGGAGCTTACAAGGGCAGTGGTTATTTCTATCCTCAGTACACCAAACAGTACCTGTATCATAGTTGGTGCTTTATAAAGACCGGCTGCATGAAAGAATGAGGAATGAATAAATGAAATGCAAAACTTTTAAGCAAAGAGACAAGTCGCCGATTTACATGATCACCCCCTTAGACTAAATAGAAGAGACCGTGCAGCTTCAGTGGCTCAGCCTGGGAATAAACCCTCAACGTTTTTCTCTTTTTACTCCCAGACAGGAATCATTTCCCTCTATGACTGTATTTTTAAGAGGGACCTAGGATATAATCAGAAATTGCACCGAGATGACAGAGAACATGCGAAGAGCCTGGGACTTCATGTTAACGAGGAGGTAAGACGAAGGATATTAACAGGCTCTGACAGATGGACTGCACATGCACAATTGTTTATTATTGTGTCCAGTGTGTGTCTGACTCTCCTTTGTGCTGCTCTCCTCTAGTTTACGAAGAGTATGCTGCTGCTAGCTCACTCTAGTCCAGCGGTTCTCAACCTGTGGGTCGCGACCCCTTTAGGGGCCGAACGACCCTTTCACAGGTGTTGCCTAAGACCATCCTGCATATCAGATATTTACATTACGATTCATAACAGTAGCAACATTACAGTTATGAAGTAGCAACGAAAATAATTTTATGGTTGGGTCACAACATGAGGAACTGTGTTTAAAGGGCCAGAAGATTGAGAACCACTGCTAGTCTGTTGTGTTGCTGTGCACTAATTTTGATGGCTGCTGTTTTGTTCTACAGAATTTAACAATTTTAATGGAAGCAAAATAAGAAGTTCTTTTCAACAGATAAAGTAGGGTTTTGCTTAACCTTGGAGTCCAGGCTGTCACAGGTCTTCTAGAGACACTGGGCTGTCAGGGATGAAAGCCCACAGGCAAGGATGTATCTATCTCCCAAGTTGATTACCAGGCCACTGCACGTAGCACAGCTCCTCCATTATCTCTCCACGATTTTCACACTTGGAGTGCGGGAAACGAGTTAAGTTGGCTCGTGTGAATTGCGCGTACTCCGCGGGAGCCGTCTTTAACTCGGTTCATATAGATTTGCGGTGGAGTGCGGGAAACGTGTAAACTCGGGCCGATTGTAACTGCGTATTACCAAATATTTGTTTGTAATCCACCCTTTTGGTGGATGGAACAAAACCAAAAGACAGAGCCATCTTATATTTTGGCGGGAAATTCACCCGCACTCCAAGTGTTCAGAAAGGGAGGCTCTGCCTGCAGTCAGCTGCACAGGTGGGTGACCAACAGAGGACACAACACCCACAGGGTGAGGAGGTCAGGATTGCAACAGTACAAGGGTGAGGAGGTGGCGTACTCCTTAGCATGGCTGGGCCCATCTGCCTGCTGGGCTGGACCCTCCCCCTGCCCTTCCGCACTTGGACATTGTGCCCACACATTCTGACCTGAAGACAGTATGATCATGAAAAGTTGGGTGCTGGTTACTATCATAATCTTTTATCCAATACACAGAAATCAGGACATAAAATCTTTCAGTGGGCTTTCTTTCTAGATCATTGGATATTTGCCTGTCGCTGTTATTGTTTAAGCATGTTGTCATGTCACTTTCAATGAAACATATTATTTTAATGTGAAATTAAGTGATGGAGGCAATATGAGGTATTACTGTGTAGATCACGGACGTCAACGCGTTTCCTCCTGTTTTTGTTTGTTACTTCATTATTCCAAGTTGGTAGCAAAGTCAGTGCTTTCTGCCCATGAGAACATGCCTAGTGTTTCTTATATCCACTCATAGATTTTGAGCACCTCCCGTGCACTCCTGAGAACACAGGGAGTAAGGCAGCAGTGTCTGCCTCCTGGACCTGACATTCTCATGAGGAGACAGAAAAATAAAAGCCAAACAAATAATGAACTGAATCCAGGTAGTAGTAAGAGACATAAAGCTTTTTAAGAGGAGGAAAGTGAAAGTGTTATGTGGGGGTTTGGGAGGTGAGAAGGACTGGGGAGATTAGAAGCGGGCTGTGAGATGAGGGGTACTGGGAAGATGAGGAATCACTAGGGGGATGTGCACCCTGGAAAAGAAAAAAGTTGGGAAAAGATAGAAAAGAAGGGCAGGCAGGAGCAGGGCAGGGAGGAGGGTGGGGAGGGAGGAAGAAAGTGAATCTGAAGTCACAGGTACCGGGCACCCAGTGCAAAAGCTCTGCCTTCCCTCTGAAGGGCCCGAGGACACCCGAGGGCTGTGAGCAGAGGGCAGGGCTGACATAGTAAAGAGGTCCCCTAACGCCAGTGTGGAGTCACCTCCAAGAAGCCCAGGCAGAGATAGGATGCAGATGTGCAGGTGACACAGGCAGAATCAGCTTCCAGATCCCAGGCCGAGGGGAGGGTGAGCCCTGCTGAGGAAGCGGGCATGTGCTGACCTGCGTGTCTGATGCCCTGGACAGGAGCAGGAGAGGCCCGTCGGGGTGCTGATGTCATCTGTCTACGGCAAGCGCATCCACCAGCCAGTGGAGCCTCTGAACTTGGAGCATGGCCGTGCCAACCATTTGAAGGCCGACTTCTATAGGAAGAATGAGATCCCCAGCTTCAAGGATCCTGGCTTTGGGTACATTTCTCCAGTGTGACAGTTCTCCTGTGAAATTATTTCAGATGAAATGATGCTGAGTACTGACCCACTGGGAGCACCTGAATAAAATGAAAACTTGGTTCTTACTTGATAGTGGTTGGGTTGAGTTTTGTTCACGGTGTTCACAAGTCTTCCTGGGGGAGGCGCTCACAGGAGCAATGTGCAGTTACTTTTCTTAACACCCATGGAAACTACTACTGCCTGATTCTTCCATTTTCCCTTTCTCCACCAGGAGGGATCATGAAACGGCCTTGAGTCTGGACTTGAGTCTTTAACAGACTTGGGTACAATTCTGGCTTCGCATTTTCTAGCTGCATGGTGTAGGGCCATGGTCGGTAAACTGCGGCTCTTGAACCACATGCGGCTCTTTGGCCCCTTGAGTATGGCTCTTCCTAAGCCTTAGGAGTACCCTAATTAAGTTAATAACAATTACCTACCTATATAGTTTAAGTTTAAAAAATTTGGCTCTCAAAAGAAATTTCAATCGTTGTACTGTTGATATTTGGTTCTGTTGACTAATGAGTTTGCCGACCACTGGTGCAGGGTAAATGATTTCACCCGTTTGAGCCCACATCAGCTCAGCGTCAAAGCAGGGGCTCCCGAGCTTGAGGAGTGGGTGTGGGAGTCCAGGAGCCACTGCAGTGTGGTCGGAACATAAGCACCGCAGGGGCCAGGATTGTTCCTTTGAACAGCCTTCGTTTTAGAAGCAGCTACATTAGAAATGTGTGCTTTGCAGATAACTTGGAACTTTTTCAAGTATTAAGATAGTGCTGTATTTTTAATGAATGGATCCCTTGGAGGAAATCATCCCTCATCTATCATGATTAAATTTCCCACAGTTGAGCATTTAATGGGAAGGTGATCTAATGTGTTTCAATGTTGATTCCTCTGTTGCTGGCTTTATTATTTTGATTCTCTAAGGACACATGACACTAAGTTGCTGGTAATTTCAAGGCCGAGTGACTCCTAAATACTTCTTTATTTGTTGAAAATGTTTTTTTTTCCTCTCACTATAGGCACCTTTTTATTTTTCATTTTTCCCCCCAAACAAATAGCAGTAGTTTATTTGGAATGCCCTTGGGTGCATTAAACCAGCCTATCTAATAAAGATGGAATATGCAAATTGACCATCACTTCACAACAAAGATAGTGGTGCCCACAGCCAATCAGGAAGGAATATGCAAATTGACATGACAAAGATGGCGGCGGCAGGGCCGGGATGCTTGCACAGGTGTGGAGCGGCCGGGTGGGGCAGGACACTTGCTATGAGGGGCGCGGGGGGTGGAGGAGCTACAGGAGGGTGGCAGGGCCGGAGCGAAGGTAGGAGGTGGCGGCCAGAACCAAGGCCCCGGTCCTGGGTGCCAGAGGGAAGCTGGTGCCGCAGCCAGGTGAAGGAGGCCTGTTCTTGGACAAATCTTCGTGCATCAGGCCTCTAGTATTTATAATAACATAATAGAAAATATATAAAGTTAGGGTTATGGAAATTTGTAAAATTACTCTTTCTTCAGTTTTGATTACCAAGAAAGACAAGGCTTCTCTATGAAATGCCTTCATCTGAAAGTAACTGCCATAAATTAGTGGTAAGCTAAATCATTTTCAGTTAATTTAAGTCAGATTCTACTCCCTTGACTTCTACTACTTTTAAAAAGCAGGGCTTGAATCAGACCAGGTTTCAAAGATCTCACTTTTGTTAGACATAAATGCCTGTCTCTTGGCATGTCAAGTTTTGCAACTTAAAACCGACCCATAAATGCCCATTAGTCATCTTTTCAAAGAGAAACATAGATGATTACATTTCCAACCTTAGTGAATGTTATTTCAAAGCAGAGTAGTTGTTGTCTTTAGTAAAAAGAACAAGGATGATTCACAACAATGAAGACATTTCTAAGTAGATGGGTTAAAAGCACTGCAGATTTAAGGGCACTCAACTGAGGATTTTTTAAGAGAGAGGGCTTCCGACTGGATGAGAGGTTGAGGAGGCTTTGAGGAGTCTTACCTACTACTGATGATGCAAGGCCAATGGGCTGCTGGGTGTGACCTGCAGGTCTTGTTTGCATGATTTGCTCATAGGAAGGTTTGTAGTTGCCAGAGATGAAGGGGCTTTGACCAGAAGCTACACTATCAGTTTTCTGGGAACTGGCACTTTTTCATTCTAGTCTAGTCTTAGTCACAGATCACCTCAAAACTTCAAATTATCCTATGGACCTCTCTGTACCTGTTTGTAAAGTGCAGGGGGTATCAGGCTGGATTAGGATCAGAATCACCCAGAGAATTTGGTATCTGAAACACGGGCAGCATGTGGGGCCCTGCTGCCAGGATTTCTGACCTGGCAGATCTGGGCCTGGTCTGAGAATCTGCATTTCTGACAAGTTCCCAGGTGATTCTGATGCTGCTGATTGGGGACCACACTTTGAGAGACCCATGTATGCACAGACCTTTGCAAGGCAAACTCTGATAATGACTTTGATTATTTTAGTCTATTGTTTGTTAAGAAGACCTGGTGATACAAATTTAGGTAAAAGCATTCTCCTTTGAGTTCTTTTCACCAAACTCAGCACCTGGGGGGAGCACGTTTAAGAGTGCTTGGTGAATCATCAACTGTGGGTGTCTGCTAAGGGCAGGTGACATAAAGTGCCCTGAGATGGGTGCCATGGGCTCTATGGGAGGAAGGACCCACAGGTGCAGCTGCGGGTCATTGTCATAGGTGCTTCACAAGGCCAGATGGAAGTCACTGAAACCCAGGGCATCCTAATCCAGATTTTGGTTAGAGTGACGAGAGATGCCCTTATACTCTTTTTCTTCTTTTTGGATGTATCAAGGCCAAGGCTGAGTTGCAATTACAGAATAAAAAATTCCTGATGGAGGCAGACAATTGATAAGCTGAGCTGAAGCCCCACCTCCTTTGGTGATGAGGGCCAGTAGTTAGTTTCCATGAGCACATTGACTGAGTGTGAGTCCAGGCCCCCATTGGGCTGCCGTGTCTATGCTGCGAATGTGCTGGCAGGAGCAAGCCCCAAACCTGCTAGGAGGACTCAGTCATTAGCTCATTTAACCAGACCTGATCCCATGAACTATTGTGGGGAGCCACCGCATGCCAACACTGTCATGAGCATGCACCAAGGAACGCGGGAGGCCGAAGGACCTTGAACGTTAGCAGGGCTTATGCTAGGCACTGATTGTTCGTGTTGAGATAGCGATGGCTTGAAGCAATTTCCTGACCTGTTAGCCTCCAAGTAAATGTTTAATGGACTTTACTGACCTTTGAGACTGCCTGTCTGCTACCTGTTTGCTGTGCTTTACTGAGGGCAAGATGTGTATCTAAAACTGAATAAAAAGCAGACAAGGCCAGGACTCAGTGCGCCTCTTCAGGAAAGAGGTTCCACCTGGCCCCCCAATGCTTTCTAAATTCATATTTCTTGTATAGCATTTTCACTTGTGCGTCGGCCCCTCCTTCAGATCCCGAACCTCGACATGCAGGTTGTGGCAAACTACCCACCAGGAAAACACTCCTCAGAGAAAGTGAGAGATGGTTCAAAGTCACACAGTTGGTGACAGGTCAGAGTCAGCAGTCAAGCCAAAAGCTCAGGCTCTAAGTCCCAGCTCCCAGGAAGGGGCTGCTCCCTAATAGGTCGCGGGGTCTTCTACCTCTTACAGGGTTGCCTAAACAGGCACGTGTATGTTTGCTTTCAAATGTGAGATTACAAACGATTGCACTATTTTTCACCCTTTGGCAGAGTATGACTCCTTTATGTGAAGAAAACCCCCAAAACTTTAGAGTTGAATTGACTGCCACCAAATTTGCCAGGTCTTCCATCTTCAAGGCTCTGGGCCTTCTTACGCCACCTAAGACATCATAGGTGGCTTGGCAGTTTCTCGTGTTTGTTCAAGCCATTGGGGTTGCTAACCTACACAGTCAGTTGCAAGTTACTCGTATGCATCCTGTGTCTGGTAGATGACTAACGGTAGAGTAGACCAGAGTGTGAGGATAGAGGGGTGCTGTTGTCAGTAGAGAATCTTCTTACTATTAAAATATTTCCCATGCAAATGCTCTCTAGAGAGGCCAAAATCAAAAGCAGACCCCAGGACACATGCAGCATGCTTCCTTTCTTCCCAGGGAGCTGCCTAATCAATTATCTGCATTACAGACTTTGTCCTGATCTGAAGGACTCAATCCCTGGCTTCCGGAGAACATTTTCCAAAACAGGGAGATAAATGGGAAACAAACCTCCATTCTGGAGCAAACCAGAGAAAGAAGAAGGGGCGGGGGGAGGAGAGGAGGGAGAGAAGGCACCACAAACCAAAGTACATAAAATTTAATGAATTAACCTTACAAAAGACAATGGCATCAAAACATCAGACACGTTTGGTACAAAACTGGTCCTAGGTGGTGAGAACTAATTCTGGTGATGGATGACTACGTGCTGCTGGCACGACACAACAGAGCAAGGGGACAGAGCCAGGGATCCCAACGGCGCCCGTGGACAGACCCTGGCAATGAGACACGTGGGTGAACACAGTCAAATTCCATGTGGGATGACAGACTCAACTTAGTCACGAATACTGTGTGTTGTAATATCAGACTAGCGGATGCGGTTGGCGAGCTACCATATTTTCCAGAAAAGAACATGCACCAGAAGATAATATACACCCCCTAGTTTTATTGCCTTAAGAATTTTTGTTTGTTTCACCTCTATCATCCATGTTAGTTCTTTGAATGCATTTCTCTTCTCCATCACACACTCTTTTTCCTCTTCCTTCGGAGTAAGCACAGTGCGAGTGGCAGAACGATCTTGGCACCCCAAACGGTGTGCCCCCGGGTCACAGGAACGAGTCTGCAGAGGCTCCAGAGGACAGAACAGAGCACGCCATCAAAAACGAGGGACAAATGTTGCAGTCAGAAAGTGCATCGTACCTTCCTAAAAACATATTCTTCTTGCCAAAACGAAGATGCTCTTCAGGAAGCCAGGTTGCTCTGGGAAAGGGACCTTGACATTTCCGTGTTCACAAAGTACGTCTTCAGGTCCCCCTTCCCCTTCACGTTGATGATGCCTCGACACGTGCACGTGTACCCCAGGGTCTGCAGGATGAGGCTCGTCTCCTCCGTGACCTACAAGCACGTCGACAAATGAAAAAGTGTTTAGCCAGGATATTAACACAACCCTTTTGAAAGGCCATTTGCCTTCAAGGATAAAGAGCTGAGACATGTTTGTGTTCTTTGCTCCATTAATTCTACTCCTGAGAAATGAGTACAAGAAAGACAAACCCATGAGAAAAAAAATTAAGGACAAGGTTTAATTCAGTGGTGTGATAGTGAAAAACTGGAAACACCAGTAATCTTCAGGGTTAAGTAAACCATGATGCAACCATGATCAATATCATGGATAAGAGGATGGGATAATGTCGAACTATGTCACCCTCTCAAAAATGTTAAGGCTGGTACCTGCTATAATTTCCACCAGCTGAGGATTAACTATGCACATATAAGACACCTGGAAAAAAAAGCAAATCAAAACACGCCGGACTGGAGGGATTTTTGATGATGTTTTCAAGTTGTCATGAATGTCATTTCAGGAAAAAAGAAATGTTAAAAGTAGATTTTAATAAAAATGGAAGAAGACACCCTGAGAAGATGAACAGTCAACTCCTGCAAATGGCCATGAGTGTCTGGTTTAATGCACCTGAATAAAATGACCTGAAAAGAAAGACACTAGGAATGTTCAGTGGCCTTAGCATGGGCACGACACTGAGTCAGGTGTGGAGAGTTTCCTCAGTTCACTGATTGACATGAAATGCTAAATGGAGTGAGCCCCGCCCTTGCAGCCTGTCAATGTGACCTGTCATATTCAGGTCCTGCTGGGTCAGAGGGCAGAGGCACCTGCTGGGTAGGACAGCTTCTCTCTCCAAGGGGAGATGCCCTGTCCTGCATTGAGCTGTGCACGGTTTCAGCTAGGGCCTGCCTGTGCTCCCTTGGGGGGCCCATGTCTGGGGAAGGAGACCCAGGCCTGCCTGGGTTTGGCTGCTTGAGTGTCCTAAGAGCCTCCTGCAAGAGACATTTTCTCAAGCAGAGAATTGGTGACATGCATAGGCTTGACCAAGAACGAGATTTCAGCTTCTGAGGTGAGGGAAGACCCCCTGTGGGGTACATGGTTCCCTAACCAGCCCCCCGCCCCCCACAAGGGACCTGGGCTTTGAGCAGAGAGGGAGGGAGCTGTTTGCTCAGGAAGCCCGGTAACGCTGCTGCATCTTTGGAACCATGTAGAAAAGCAGAGGAGGAGGGGTTTCCTCCCACTGTATCAGAGGAAATGGACATGACACCTGTGCCCCCGCCACCTCGCATGTGGGTGACACACCCATGTGAAGGGTAGGCTTGTGGACAACACCGCAATGCTATCACACCATGGTGTCCGTGGCATGGGCACTGTCGGGGATGGTGCGGTGGTGGAGACAGTGGTGGCAGCAACGAGCCAGCCTCCTTGGGCTTGGTGGCTGGAGAGGCCTCAGGAGCAGGCACTGTTTTGGGGCAGAGGCAGAAGGACATCAAAACCACAGGAGACCCAGGACAGCGTCAGGCCTCTCAGAAGTAAGGCTGAAGTGTTCCCTGTAAAGATCCCAAGGGCACGCTGTTCGAAAGAGCCAGCAGCGCTGTTCTGTCTTCCTGCAAGGAGACCCCGTGGCAGTTTCTAGCTCAGGGGCCAACATGTGGGTCCTCGCCACCCCACAGAGAGCAGGAAGGAAAAGGGGAAGCAGGTGCTCATGTCTAGCAGGGCCCAAGTCCTCGGGGAGGACAGGTGTAGCTTGGGGATGAAGCCAACGGCACAAGAGACTTTGGATTCTGGATAAGAACCAAAAGAGCAAGTACACAGTCAAGAAACTCAGATGACAAATATGTTCTCATGCTCAGAGTTCTCAGGGGCCATTAGGATGAGAGAATCCCATAGGATTTGTCTTCCGACCTTCCACAGAGAACACACCCATGTTCTGGAACCCTGGAGCTTAATTTTGGAGTTGACAATTTCTTGGTGCTGGGTAGCACCACCAGCATTCTCAAGCTATCCCATTGGTATTTGTAGCACCAGGCATACAATTACAGGGACGTGGGGAGGAGGGAGCTGTCTACCTGATTGACACCAGCTCTGATTCCTCCATGCCTGGGAGGCCTGGCTGGGTGCCAGCGGGCTCTCTATGCTGTTTGTGCTCCCAGTCTAGACAGCATGTGGAAGTTCATGCCCTTTAATAAAAACAACCTGTTTCTGATGCCCAAGAGAAGCATTTAATAGTCTCTGCATCCATTTTTATGTTTCCTGGCATCTCGCTACATTTTTTTCCTTTGCACTTAAGTGGAAATAAGAGGCTACTGGAGCTACAGCGAGCCACACCCTCAACAGAAGGACATCTACCCAGATGCAAACATGCCACCTGCTGGGGAAATGAACACACAAGGGCCTGCGGAGGTCTCACTCTCCACAGCCAGAGCCTGTCTTCCTCACTCCCTGGGGCTCCGAGGAGACCTTCTAGGTGGCCGCTCTGCACTAAATCACATGCAGTTTTATGATGCCCGATATCCTCTCAGAGTAACACATGGGCACAAACTCATTTAAACATTGACCTGCAGGGGATTTACGACCTCCAGGAAGGAACAGTCTCTCTGACCAGCTTCTCTTAAATGGCTTTTGATACTTCTCCCAAGTGCTTGAAGGCCACTTGGAGAGTTGTGAAGGTTATTAAATCTACCATCCACCTTCGGAAGGTTCCAGGTGGGGACACAGGTCAGCCTACAGGTGGGAGAGTGTATCCTGGGTAGGAGCTTGCCTCTTTCCTCAAAGGAGGATCCTCAGTGGTCCAGGATGCTGGCGCCTCCCTGGGCACTGGGAGTGGCTACTGATGAACATGCCGAAAGCCTTATACTCTGTGGTGCCATCCGGGCACTATTAGATTAGGCTGCCAATGTGGCAGGCCATTCCTGTCAAGGGTGAGCCGCTGGGCTGTCTGCATAGTCACTGAGCACCACTCCTACCCACTGTCAGACGAGCCCCATTTGGCCAATTTGTCTGGGAAGTCCGAATACCTCCTCTCCTCCCCACCACTTTCTTCTCTCTCCCTTCTCTTTGTTGGATGTTGCTTACTTTTCAACACCTGTTGACTAAGAAGGTAGACACTTAAAAGTAATGTTTGTGCCATTTCATATAAAAATTAAAGATACATCTTAGAAAAGGCCACAGCAGTAAAATTGTCTTGGGTGAATGAGGTGGAGTAGCATGGCAGGCACGTGAGAGGGCAAAGCCCACAAGCCCATTGTTGGTGATCCTGGAGCTGGTGGACTTCCACCCAGATCTATCAAGTTTCTACATCTCTATCCAGAGCTGTTTCATGCCTGAGGCACATAAAATGAAAAAAAAGAAAAAAAAAAGTGTATGGGGAAGACCCATTTTACTGAACCTGAATTAACATAAAAATAGTATCTCATGCCGAAACCGGTTTGGCTCAGTGGATAGAGCGTCGGCCTGCAGACTGAAAGGTCCCAGGTTCGATTCCGGTCAAGGGCATGTACCTGGGTTGCGGGCACATCCCCAGTGGGAGATGTGCAGGAGGCAGCTGATCGATGTTTCTCTCTCATCGATGTTTCTAACTCTCTATCCCTCTCCCTTCCTCTCTGTAAAAAATCAATAAAATATATATTAAAAAAAATAGTATCTCATTGTTTCCATCTGACTTTCTTTAATGAAGAAATTAATGTCAATTTGTAGTGAAAAACAGTAAACATTTTTGTATTTAAAAAAAAATTGTCTTGGTTGAATGATGTGGAGTAGCATGGCAGGCACGTGAGAGGTCAGAGCCCACAAGCCCATTGTTGGTGATCCTGGAGCTGGTGGACTTCCACCCAGATCTATCAAGTTTCTACATCTCTATCACGATTTTAAGAAGCAAGGTTATTTGTGGCCAAGTTGAGGTACACAGAACAGGGACTCATGGATTTCTCTGAAGAGGACTAAAAACCAATAAAGCCTCTCATTTGTGTCCAGTGGTTTTTACACAGATTTGCCATCCGGCAGGGATTTATCCAGCCAAATACAACAGAATTGGGGTGTAATGTGGAACCACTGCTATTTGAGGGCGAGGGAAATAGAAAGTTCAGCACACATACTCACACACGCATCCTTCTCATTGGGAGAACTTAGTCCCCTGATTATTCTAGGTCAGTGATTTTTCAACCTTTTTCATCTCATGACACACATAAACTAATTCTTAAAATTCTGCGGCACAACAAAAAATACATTTTTTGCCAATCTGACAAAAAATAGGTATCATTTTGATTCATGCACACAAGATGGCTACTGTTGTGTTGGTTGTTGTCACTTTTAAATTTGAAAATCTAAGGGAAAAGAGGTCAGTGCCCCTGACTAAATAGTCAGGTATTGCATGTTTTAAAAACTCTTGCGGCACCCCAGTGTGCCTGCCACAGCACATCCGTTGAAAATCACTGTTCTAGGTGTCTGGTCTGGTGCCCAAACAGGTGCACACACTCACCACTGCTTTTCAATGCCTAGGTCTTCCCTTTCTCTCCCTTGAGTGGATTCCAGAGCTTTCTAGTCATTTCCAGATCTCCAAATCCCATTCTAGTCCAATTTACCACCATCATACTATATCACCTGTGATTCCATCTCTCTACCCTGGAGACCCCTCCCTTTCCCCCCTCCATCAGCACCCAGGGAAAGAAAGGCTGATTAGGTCTGGTTTTGGTTACACACAGCCCTTCTCCCTTGCAAAACGCTTTCAAGATGTTGGTGGAGAGAAGGAAGAGGAGAGAAGGGCTCTAGTCCTGCACGTCCCACTAGGGCTGTCCTACTGCATGCTGGTTGTTGTGATCACTACGTTCACAACAGCCATGATCTTTATATCACATAACTTTTTATTGTTGTTAACAGTGAATGCAGAAACAAATGAACATTTCCCCAATAAAAAGATTTAAGTAAATTTCAAGCTTTTTTCCAAGATTCTCAAGGTTTTTCAAGTTTTTTTTGGGTCAAGTTTGAAGTAAATTTCAAGGTTCTTTCCTTTGTTTTAACATAGTAGTATAATTATTCTTATATTATCCATGGATCCCCAGAGGACAGACATGACCTATGATGACTGTGCAGGCTGAGCTACCTGTATTTTGTCCAGGACTCCAGTGCTGTCCATCCTACTGGCCACGTTTACGGTGTTGCCCCAGATATCATACTGTGGCTTCTGAGCTCCAATTACACCAGCTATTACAGGTCCATGGTTCATACCTGTGATGCATCAGAACTGGATTAAGATTCACATTATCACAACTGTCTTAAACACAAAAGTTTTACAGGACCATCTTGAATCATCATTATTAAATGAACATTACCCCATATAACTCTAAAGCTGGGGGCGGGGGGCGGTGGATGGGGAGCCTGGGTGGATTATTGCTGGCAATGGGTGATCTCTACTTAACTGCAAGTGTATGCTCAATTTGTGATCCCCATTAAATGACTGAAGCTTAACATTCAGAAAAGGGCATTATGAGTGAGTTTGGCTATTATTTGTTGCATCACTTTTTTGGGGGTGTGGGGGTGGGTGGGTAATATTACCCTTCCAATTTCCTACTGTGACCTGCCACTGGATGGCACCATGCACAGAGGTAGAGCAGGAAAGCTGACCCAGGAGAGGCTGAGGGTTTGGGTAAACGCAGATGCAAAGTCCAAGAGAAACACTGAGCTTAGGTTACCCTAGAAACCCAAAAGAGCTGGCATGTGGGGTGAATGTTTCATTAGTCAATCAATAATCAGTGTGAAGTAGGCACTCAATAAATACCTACTGAAGGAGGTCCATTCTGTTGCTCACAGTAATTTGGAAAACATTGCTAAGGTCCAGACCAAGTCCACTGTGCTTTGATGTAGCACAGGGGACCAGCAAACAATTGTCCCTGTTCCCCCTCCCAGTGAAGGGCAATGTGATTTTGGTCCATAAATGTCTGACAATAGAGGGGTCATTCTGCAAGGTGATAGATTTTCTTTTAAAGGCAGGTAGTGTGAAAGTTTGAGGAGCCCATTTTCCAAGTTGCCAAACAATAAAGAATCTCCAGGGTGCAAGAGACACCTGGAGTTTGATATGGTCAGCAGTGTGATGGGCAGCCCTTCTTACCTCTGTATATAGCAGAGCCTGGGTAAAGTCTACTGTGCATAGAGGTGAGAAAGTATAAAGAGAAGTGTGTCCAGATGTTAACAATTAATAGGACACACAAAAAAGTGAAATATTTCTGGATTGAAAAGAATATATGCAGAGCAGAGGAAAAAATAGCTCTAAATATCAGGATTTTTTAAATAGCTGAAATCTGTGCAAAGAAAGTGAAAAGCCATTCAGATGGAATGTGTTAAAAGATCTACTCTTATGTGGACTTGCTTTCAGAAGGAATAAAATATGTTGCCAAGAAAAACATACAATAGTCAAAGAAGTTCTTACAAACCCTGAATGGCTGGAAGCAACGGCAACCTCACAAAGCAGCTGTGCTAACCTCAGGGCTGAACACATTTTTTTTTTTAAAAATAAACATTTGTAAAAGGCAAATAATCATGAGACATGCTAAAGAATCAACTTAAAGTAAGGAAAGAACTTATTAGAATTTTTTATTTTATTTGAAAGAAAATTGGACTTTTCTCTTAAATTTGAACATCCAACCTGAAAAGCTATAGCTACTTCAGAATCTAGGACACATGTTTGGCGTTCTTGTAGGTTGTAGCTCCAGGGGTGTGTGGCTATTTTAACAATTCTAAGATGCACTTAAAAACAATTTAGAAAATTAAAATAAAAAAAATGTTTTTACAACTCTGAGGTCTAGAGGCATTTTCTAGCTTATGACGGGTCCTAGTTTTACAGGCAGAGGCCTACGAAATAATGAAGTGGTTTAGTCAGTGGCTTACATGAGCTCCTCAGGGAGGCACAGCCTTAGCCTCCCTGAGGAGCTCATGTAATCCACCTCATGGTCCAGTTGTTAAACCTGGGTCCAACCTACGGCAGTATATTTTTTGTTGTTCTAATAATTTATGCCAAAATGCCTCAGGGGCTCTCAGCTTCCCTGAGCCCTGCCAGCTGCAATTCAGTCCTGCTGCTCTAAAAGCACATTTGTCACGGCCCTACTTCAACGCAGGGAATAGCCACATTTCCTGGGAACTCGTCCTTACGCCACGCCTCCACCACAGCTGAAACCCTGTCTCTGCTCAACGTACCCACTCGCAGCTTGAAGTCATTGAAGGAGTGCTTGTTGATGGCGTCCAGCTTGGCCACCAGTGCGAAGGCGAACTCCACCATGGTGCCGATGTGCATGTACTGCCTGTCGGGCTCCTGAGGGAAAGGAGACACGTGCAGGCGGGTTAGGGCTTCACAAGCTGGGGAGTATTCCCTCCAATCACACACCGAGGCTCCACTTAGAAAGGGACACATACAAATTATGGCCCCGCAATGCACTGCAGACACTGGTGAGAATTAAATCTCATCTCTAGGAAGCATTGTGTGCGAATTCAGTTTTATGACCACAAGGAAATGTGAAACACTCTAAGACACAGGCCCACATTGTTTTAATTTTGGGGAGGGGCTGGCTCCTGGTTCTCCATTTGATCCTCACACCTAGTCATCCCCCTTCTCTGCTGGGCTCTGGCACGGGGATGCTGCCCTGTAGGAACTGCCCCTTCCTTGTCCCCTAGTTTTCTGTTGGACTGACCCATGGGAGGGCCAGGGGGAGAACAGAGGGTGGTCACACCCTTCACACCTGCTACAGTTCTTCCTGAGTCTGCAAACACCACTCCCTTCTCTGTCCTTTTGGGGGATTGGGTGTTATGGGCTGAAATGTGTCCCCCCACAAAACTTATGTGTAGAAGTCATGAGCCCCTAGTACCTCAGAATGTGTCTGTATTTATAGACAGGGCCTTCAGAGGTAATTATGCTCAAATTAGGTCATTAGTATGCCTCCCAGTATGACAGATATCCTTATAAAAAGAGGAAATTAGGACACAACCAAACACAGAGAAAAGGCCGTGTGAAGACATAGGGAGAAGACAGCCATCTACAAATCAAGGAGAGAGGCCTCAGGAGAAACCAGTCCTGTTGACACCTTGATCTTGGACTTCTGGCCTCCAGACTGTGAGAAAGTAGATTTCTGTTGTTGGAGTCCCCCGGCCTGCATTACTGTGTTATGGTAGCCCCAGCAAACGAATACAACAATTTCCTGCCTTTACTGTCCCTGGGTGGTATCTCATGCTTTGGGCAATGGAGAGTGATCATATGTATAGAGCTGAAAAAGAAGGGAAGTCCAAGGTTTCCAGTGGGGAAAATTTCAATTTCATTTACTCTGAACATATGTTTATTATTCCTGCTGCTAGTTTATATTTACCATTAATTTGTAACACTTATTATATTTATATTTACTTTTGAAGTTCATCTTTTAAAAATATCTATTTTGGGTTAATAGATCATATATATATATAATTTCATAAAATGTTTTAATGTACATGTTCTTTATGTTCCCGCTCCCCCAGTGTTGAATGGTTGGGTGCACTAAGATAGTTTGGAGCATAGCTTCCATTCATAGCCTGGCTGATGAAATGAAGTCCCAGTGCTGGTGGCAGGGTATGGGACATGTGTCCATCTTAGCCCTAAAATCAATGTGGCCTTTCCCTTAAGCCTATCTTATTCACTCATTTGTAGGCTCCACAAGGGCGGAGACGATGTTCTGGTAATTTGTGCCTGCACACCAGGATAAAGTATCTGGTATGCAAGAAGCATTTGGTACATGCTCAATGAATGGCTACACTTAGGTGGGCCATGGGGTAGCAGAGGAAGTGACTAGGAGGATCAGAGAAAGTCATCAAGCTTTGGTGGGAGGTCAAAGCCAACTAATGTTCATCTGGGGAGCATACACCCAGGAGGGATCATTCACAAGTCCACTGAGGTGGATGAGGACTCCAGAAGAAGCAAAGCAAAGGGAATATTACTGGGGTAGACTGGGGAGTGCCCTCAGTTGGGACAGGTATCAGTAAGGGACACTGGAAATGCTTGAGAGAAGAGTAGCAGAAACAGACCACCAAGCGTCCAGGGTGTCACACATGACTTCTGACATGAGTCCAAAGAGGAGGCACCTGGTGGCCTTGGGGGAGCATTCTCTATGGGAACGAAGACAAAACTGACTTTGAGGATTCCAATAGGGATGTGTAAGAAGAAAACAAGGACCTTGAACATAACCTGCTATTCAAGATGACATGGGAGATGAAGAAAACCAAGGTAATAGTTAAGGAAAATGACAACAGGATTATTCATAGAATCCACACAGCATTTTAATAACAAGAGTGAAGAGAGAGAACACGAAGGCAGGGTTCCCACTGCTGACATTCAGGAGGGATAGTTCTCTGTCCTGGGCATTGTCCTATGCCTTATAGGATGTTGAGCAGCATCCCTGGCCTCAACCCTTCCTGCTGTGACAACCAAAAGTGTTTCTAGACATTGCCAAGTGTCCCCTGGCAGGCAAAATTGCTCCCAGTTGAGACCACTGCACTGAATAAAGTAAATAGGAATATTCTCGTTTAGAAAGATTTCTTCCTTCCCTTTGGTGAATTATATATATCTACAAAAAATCAAATGAAATCCTACTGTTGCCATAAAACCACAACTTAAAACTGTGGAAGAAAAACCAAACAATTTAAAACACTGGAGCTACGAAGCAGACTGCCAGCTAACTTTGATGGAAATGCAGTCATTTCTTAAGAACAGTTTTCCATCAGGGCTTGCTAATGTTTCTTTTCTCAGGACTTATAAGAAGAGAGTTTGGAAGTTTATGCAGTCACTTGGAAAACATCTTGCTCCTTAATGAAGGACAAACTGTTAAACCAACAGGCAGAACCCTGTGCAGTAAAAATCGCCACCAGTTTAGCAAGGACAACCGATTTGCTTTTTCCCAACCAAGGGCTAGCAAAGCAGCCCCACTCCCCGATAAATTATCGCCCGGTCTGTTTTCCTGCAGTGGGCCTTACACTGGAGGTTTGACATGACCCAAGTAGTAGATGAAGAGACTGTGTTCTGGGAGCGGGGTTTAAATCCAACGTCAATAACTCATTTGGGCTTAGTAATAGAGAAAATTATGCTCAGTCTCTGGAAGAGCTCAGTTCATTTCAAGACGTCGCTATACCTGAGCTTTTGATAAAACTTGGATGGCAGTGAGAAGCAGCCCTTTCTCCCATGATCTAAACAATTTGTTAGCCATCTTGGAATATTTTAATGACTTCCAGGCGCACAGTGCACGGTGAGACAACATGTTTGCTTTTGTGGAACACATTTTGTGAGCTGTGTGTTTTGGAAGTTGCTCTAAGCAAGGACAACTGCTTAAAGTAAACTGGCATTTGTCTGACTCTGAAGATTGAGAACTGCTGTCTAAGGAGCACCATGTTCTGTGCCTGAGGCTCCTGGGCTGATCTGACCAGACCTCTCTGTCCTCCAAAGGACATCAGCCCTCTCCCAGGTAAGCTGCTGACTGCAGCACAGAGATCAGCCCGCTCAGTGGCTCTGAACACCGGAGATTCAGGCACCTGTCAGAGAACAGGACTCAACACCTTCCCAGTGTTTATCAAAACTCAGAGGCACTGCATAACATTTGTGCAATGCAGCCCAATCATTATGCCATCATGGATCCCTCTAGATTCACTCAACTTGGATTAAATCAGACTTCCACTGTTCTCCACCTAATCTCACTCTACAGAGAGCATGCTTTATTAAAATACACATTAAGGGATGTACGGGCAAGCATCTCTGCCCCCAACATTTTAAAGCATTTTCCATGAGGGAGGTACTGAGCACACGGCTCACCACAGACCCATCGTCATGGTTACAAGGGCCTCTGTTTGTACTTGGAATGGGGTCCAGTGGAGCTTCCAACTCTAGCCTGACTTGGCCTGGTTTTCAAATATATTAATGGTTTCATCTACCAATTTTCAGGAGAAGCTGGAAATGATATTTTTAAATGAAATGTCCTTTTTCTAAAAAAAAAAAAAGTCTTCAAGTCAAGGAAAACACCTGTAATGTGCTATCATTGCCAGAAGTCTAAAGGTCATAGCAAGGGTCAAGCAGGGGCTGCAGTGTGGGGACTGGAGGAGAGTGACAGTAAAGCGAAGGGCAGACAAGGGGCAGGGTCCCCGCTGCTTCCCACCGCTGACTTCATCACAGAACATCTACTGACCAAGTGTTCATTTGTGGAATTATGAGAGCGGGCTTAGAATGCAGGCCCATTCTCAAGTTAATATTCCATTTCTTGACCAGTGAAAACAGCAGTCACTTGTTACACATTATGCAACCAAAATTTAGTCATGCTGTGTTTAAGCTTAGAACTAGAACACATTTTTTTTTTTCATCTGAGAAACACAAACAAAGGCAGCAAAACAAAGGCAGGCATGGAAGCCCCACCCAACTAGGTGGCAATAGGCTCCGTGCATTTCTTCTCCCGGTGGATACGGGTGCTGCAACCACAGGAGAAAATGCAGAGGTGTCACAAATAAAGAGAAATTTCAAAAGGCTTTCATCCAGATAACTTTGCCTCTCTTGGGATTTAAGGAAAACACATCAATCCTCGAGAAACCCAATGTGTTTTGCAAATTAAATGTCATTTGTTAAAAAAAAATGTCATTTGTTGCCAAATGAAATATTTGGCTAAGCAACAAACAGAAAGTTGTTTCATTTATAAAAATCAAGTCGAATATGTTTTGTTTATAACTAGAGAAACAAGTAGATGTGTTACAAAATGCACAAATGACTTTCATTCCTTATAAAAATAACTAATATCCATATTAATATTTATCAAGCATATTGTTTCCCCCTTTTAGAAGATGTTTGCTGAACTTCAAATTACTTGTAGGATGACCTTACAAGATTCCACTTAAATGCTCTAAACAAAAGTAGCTCAGATAGAGTAAAAACTCCCTGCATGGACATGATGACACACCACATTTCATTTATGTCCAAAAGCCCCTTATATCTGGTCTCTTGGAGGAGACAATGGTATCAACATGAGAAACAGTGCACAAACCACAACTGGATTATTGTTGCTATTAGCATTTACGTTACCACTCTGTTCATGAGTCTACTGAGTGTTTTGCATGTTCATGTAGTCTTCCTAAGTCTTTTGAAATGGGTATGATCCTCATTTTATATATAAGGACACCAAAGTGCAGAAAGCTTAGCTATTATAGTAGTAATGAGTAGTCTCACTTGAAAGTTAGACTATTTCCACTTGTTCACCTGGAAAAATGCTAACATACATTTCACACTCTATTCTCTGCCCATGAATGAGAAGAGGGGAAAGAGGACCCTGTGCTGATGTTCCTGGAGAAGGGCGCTGTCTTAGCACTGCTGCCCCTCTGTCCCTCTCTCACTCCACCCATGGGAGGTGGGTCTGAGAGAGGAAGCTGAGCATGTGTGGCTCAGCCCTTTGGAGGACCCCACCTGCCTTCAGTAAGCTGTGCTCTGGTAAGGTCTTGTCTGTGTTGCACCCACTACTTCTGTCCCACAGAAAACCTGTGCTGGTGCCCATCAGGGAGCCCACTGTCCTATGGGGAAAGGGGGTCTGGTTTATGAACCCAAAAGTTACATACACATATCTATATACACACATACACACACACAGAAACAAAACATAACATAATGGAAAACCCCCTAAAAATCCTAAATGACTGAAGATACTCAATTTTGTCCAATCAGCTTTTAAATCAAATTTCTAATGGCCAGCTTGGTTTTTGACCACATGTTTTTAATCAAAAGATCAGCAATCATCCTGTGATGAGTCACCTTTAAGTAAACAGCTCTAATCCTGGTTTTGTATATTTATCTGGTATCAAGCAACTACTGGATTGGTTAGATTTTTCTCTCCCTGTCCACCAGAAAAAGTTCAGTGGACAGATCCTCAGAAGTCTCCAGAATTCTCATCTTTTCTCATAAGACCTTAATCATTGAGATTTACATGTCCACACAGAACAGTTTATAGTCATTGCATGACTGTTTTGGCTTCATGGATGACCTACGGGCGGAGCTGAGACTCACGTGTGCCCTGTGTGGCTGACATGTCTGTACCTGGGCATGCTCCTGGCTGGGCACAGCGCTCAGACCTGTCGCTGCCATATATGTGCTGCCGATGGTCTTGATCTTTTCAACTCCACTGAATTTTGGCTTGGACAGCAGCTGTGAGGCAATGACAATCATTTAGTTATTCAGTCGAGTGCTTACCCAAGGTCTAGTGCTTTCAAGAGACATCCTCAAATTCTAGTTCACAGTAATAGTAATATGAGATGTTTCAACCACTGCTTATTCATCCTTCAATCTTGGGCTTTGCCAGGAAATAACATTTCATGAATTTCACAAAGAGCTTGTCCTTGGAAGGAAATGCAGTATAATGATTTACTTCTAATTAATATGAATTATCTTTCAAAATTTTCCAGTGAAGGAACCAATATTAATTATGATGCATGTGATAGTGGCTTTACATAAGGGAACAAGTGAAAGAAATTCTGGAGGGTCATGTATCTGCTCAGGAGGACAATGGGATCAACCAAAGTCTGAGACATCTTTCTGACCCTTCTTTGGTACTCCTGCTTTCAAAGAAGTTTCCTTCAAGATTACATATAAGAGAATTTAAGATAAGTGAGCCAATCCTCATATCATTTATCTAAAAGACAGTCCAATCTAAAAGACCACTGTCACTCATCTGCTGGTACTGGGGAACATTTATTTTGCTGAGGGGAACTGAAGGAAATATGCCACCATTTTTCACTAAGAACTCGGCATAATAGTGGAAATTTCTAGTTATCATTACTTTATCATGAGTCTTGAGTCAACCTCATGGAGAAGGTGATGGTAGTAGAGAAATGTATACATCCCACATGACATTTAGAAAGTTGGCCTGAAATCATCACTGTATTTCAAAGTTTCATGAATCATGATAAACATGTTCGTGGATGTCAATTTTCCTATATTTTTCATAATATTTATCAGAATAATGTAGCAGCAACATTCTTAAAACCAGAGTTGTGTTTGTTCTTACCAGAAAACAAAACACATTATTCTTTATGTAGGCAGAATATTAAAAATTGAAAAATGACATCTATTTCAAATTCTAAAACATATACTTTGTCCCTTCTAAAATATATTATCCCAGGTACATATTGCTTTTTCAATAACAAAACATGTCATCCATGCACAGTTCAAGTTGATATCTGACAAAGATCTTGGAATATGTACAGACAGGCCAATAATCTATGATAAATAGATTAATTATAATTTTATATAAAACTGATGGACAAATATTTTCTTTGGAGTCAAGCCTTTTGAGAAAATTCATGAGCACACGAGATAGGTATTTTATTGAACAGATTTGGTAGTTGTTCCTAGCAATCATACCATCTCACAGATAAAATACATTTGTCACTCCAAACTTTTCAGGGAGCTAAAGAGAGCAATAGGCTTTAACTCCAGCCATGAGAAATTACACCAAAGGAAAAGTTTTAAGATGTACCATGATGAGCAACTTCAGATGTACTGGCCTTGGGATTGCCCAAGGGTGGGACTAGGGCTACCCTTGTCCTTCAGGAGTCACTCTCAAATACCTACATCATCAAAGTCAGCAATAATCTCATTCAGGAGCCGCAGGCATTCCAAGCCCTCCTTGTTGACATCTGATTCTGTGTAGAATTCTTTGAAATCCGGAATGGAAGCAAACATAACGCAGACGCATTCATAGGATTGGTGGTATAACTCCTGCCCAGGAGAGAAGGAAGAGCTCAGCACCAGAAAACCTTTCAAACACATGCTCCTAATGAAAGTGTTTCTTTTCACTAGGATTGGTAAAAAAGTCACCCAGTGCCCCACACCACCTGTCCCACCCAATGCCAGGCCCATTCCAGACACTGGCCATTGATCACAGGTGAAGGGTTCTAATGAGCTGGATGTAGGCTCAGAATCTCCATCTGCTGACACCACCAGGTAATATGAAGAACCCTTCCAGTTCAAGCTCTCTGCCATCTCTACGTTAGGTCTCTCTCTTACAAGAGACCACAGACTTCTGGTTTAGGAAAAAGTTTCCTTTAACCAACTGAAGGGAAACAAAATGATTTCCCAAACCACTACATTGTCCTAAAACGACTCCTATGGCTTCATTCTTTGTATTGAGGTCCTGATGCATTTTTCTTTTTAGGGTCTCCTGAAAGGAGCAAATGAAACTCATCAAGTTACTCCTTAGTTGATCAGATGGAACCAGTGAAACTCCTCAGGCTATGTCTCATGTTGCATTAGACACCAGCAATATTTAATGCAGATATCTGTTTTTAAATAGAAAGAGGCTCATAGTTCTTTGTCCATGGACACAAATAAAATTACAATGTCTTGTTAACACAATTTCAAGGTGTTTCCGTAATTTTCCCAACATATAGTTAATCCTCCAAGTTCAGTGAAAGTTCCAGAAATGGAGGGTTGTTATGAGGGTGTGGGGGCTAATCCTAGGAATGAGGATCTGCCCTCCCCATAGTGCTGGCTCATCAGGGCACTCTGATAACCAACAAAGGCAGGATGGCCAGGTGCCTTGGTGGTGTAGCACATCATGGGAAACGTTCCTTACTCTAGGGAATGTGAGGCCAGTTCTGAAAAACAAGATGACCACCATCTGAGTGAGGAAAGAATGCTAGCAGCTGGTGCTTCTGGTATGCCTGGCAGGGTGAGGAAATCCACTCTGCATGTATGCTATCAGTGAGTTCTGTCCTCTGGGGCACCCAGATGAATCCCTGGTAGAGAGTGAGCACTCCAACAGCACTATAGCTCGAAGGTGGCCTCTCAGAAGAACGTTCTTCCCCCACTGAGGTCTCATAATAAACACATGAGGGCAATGGTGACCCACTGAAGGTCCCAACTACTCCCTGGAAAAGCTAGACTCATGTAATCTTCCTGTTCTCAGGACCAACCACCTCATAATGCCTTCTGTTACTGCCTCACAATTCTGCACACAATACACGGATGATAGAATCAAGGTTTCCCTTTTCTACTCTGCTCTGAATATGGTTGAGCTGGCTTATTGTGCAGACCCGTACTTTCTCCCTCTGCAAAGTTGTTTTTGTGAACATTCATATCCTGGGAAGACAACTGGTGGCATATGTGGTTACCAAGCTTAGGTTCCAGTAATGCTGACTAAGCTAAGGAGCCAGGGTAACAGATAACCCCCTAGGAGCCTGTTCTAGTTAAAAATACCAATTTTTATAAACACAGGGTAGCCCAGCTTATGGGGCGCAGTGGGTGGTATTGACCCATGAACCAGGAGGTCACAGTTTGATTCCCAATCAGGGCACATGCCCAGGTTGTGGGATAGATCCCCAGTAGGGGGCATGCAGGAAGCAACCGATTAATGATTCTCATCATTGATGTTTTTATCCCTCTCTCCCTCTCCCTTCCTCTCTCTGAAATCAATAAACTCATATTAAAAAAATAGTATAAATTCAACTTACCTCCCTGCTCTTAAAAGGGGTATGTCTAGGAAGGCAAGGGTATATTTTTTATATCCTGAATTTCCCTGTAGTCTGCTGAAATCAACCAGAGTGACTCTCTGAGGAATGATAATGATGACAAGAATAAGCATGAAAATCACCAGCACTGACTGCTTGCTGTATGACAGGATGAGTGCTCTTACATCATTAGTGAAAACTGATGGTTCCTTCTTAATAGATGTAGTGACACCGTCATCTATGACCAATATGTAACTTGGTTGCTGAGTAACCTACTGAGTGTAGAAAACATCAAGAGAAATAGGAAAGTGATTGGTCTGTGGTCAGTCATACCTGCTGTGGGACCCTGGGCTGGCTCACATGCCCAGCACACTTCTAGTAAGATGACAGTGACAGTGTCCAGCATCTCACCCCTCCACCTGGCACTTCACAAAAACACTGTTCCAAGCCTTTTCTCTCGAGGTTGCTTTGTACTCTAGCACCACCACAATTGAGCTTGTTTATTAAGGAGTTCATCTATCTATATAGGTTCCCTGATCCCTCATCTATTCCCAACCTCATTAAAAATTTCCTAAGAACAGCATTGTACCTCACACGTCATTGGAACTCCACTGTTCTCAGTCCAGGCCTTTGCACACAGTGGGCGCTCAACTACATGTTTCTTAAATTAATATAGTCCCATTAGAGATATATCTGCTGACTCTTGTCACGCAGAAATATTTAAAAAATTCACATTTTATTCCATATGCCATTTCAACACTGATTTTTAGAAAGGTTGAAATTCAGTGTTGAAATGGCATATGGAATAAAATGTGATTTCTAAAAAATATTTCTGCGTAACAAGAGTCAGCAGATATATCTCCACAACCTTTCTAATGCGAGTTAAATATCCATACCTTTATATTTTCTGTGAAATTTCCATTGAATTCCATTAAATTAATGGACTCAAGACTTTGATCTGGTCCTGTATGGATAACTTCCAAATTTTATCTCATATCTTTGAGATTCTAAAACCCTTAAAAGGCTCTCAGGAAAGCTGTGAGAAGTGAAAGAGTGGATGTGTGGGATGTGTGGTTCGATTCTGCCCCTGGACTTGGGTCTCTAGTACATGCCGGTACTCAAGGCCCCCCTCCGGCGCCAGGGAGAGGGTGCTGGCCACTTCTGTGACATACACATTTGGAACCCTAGTGCCTCATAGTGTATCCTCAGAACGTTATGTGATTGGGGGGAAAATGAGGAATAATGAATCAGTTCCATGCTAAGACGTTCACAGGTGATTCTAGCTCACTCTTCTTGACTGACATTTTGCATCTAATCAACATCCTCTCGAATGTTGGACTTGAACACGAAGGTGTTTGTAGTACCACAGGCATCTAGGTGATCTCCTGGAGCTTCCAGCCCTCACCTGGCCCACCAGCCAGTCCTGGCCATCAGTCCCACCTCATCTCACCTCGTTCTTCAGGCTCCTGGCCAGGAAGTGCTCGGCCACGTGCGCCGGAAGCACGTTCTCCAGCAGCACGCGGTTCAGGTTCTCCATGGTTTCTATCTCCTCCCGCTCTTTATTGAACTTGTTCTTCCATAAGAAGTCTAACCTACAGTAATATTCATTCTGTTACAAGAGGACACAGAGGTAAAGAAACAATAGGCATCTTGTCCTGCCAGAGAGTGGAGGTTTTAAAGAGAAAATAAAAAGAACGAAAAACAAAACCGAAAAAAGAACCCCCAAACAGAACTGTCACCTTCCCTGCAAAGCCCACTGTTCCCCACCAATGCCGCTCACTCAGCCTCTAACACGGATTTGCAAAAAGCAAGATCAGGAAAGGACCAGCCTCAGGAACAGAGACAACAGTTATGTTGGAGGCTTGCAAGGAAAAAAGACAGGAAAGCTCCTTGCTCGGTTTTGTTAATAAAAGGTGGCTTGAATTATTTTTTGAAAAGAGGCATAATAGAATGTAAATAATGACTAAATGACTAAAAATGGAAAACACATTAGTAGAGAGAGTGCTTTGTTTGATGATTTGCATTTGAGAAATAATGGTGTTCATTTGTGGCAACTTGCCTTTAATATTTAAAAATCCGTTTTCCCCTAGCACAAATTATATAATTAAGTATTCATTGAAAAATATGCATTTTTTATTTGGTGTTTCATTGTACTGAGAGAGTGACATAGTTAGACAAAAGTTCATTTTGATATCATTTAATTAAGATGGTGCCTGGTAATAAAAACATGTGCAAATGCTTTATAATGTATTAAAACTTAATGTTGTTTTTTAAGTTATGAACATTGTAGAAATGGAGAGACTTGTTTACTGTGAAAGGGTCTTGCTGGTTTTGGCATCATTCTGTGCCAGCTGTGATGTGAATAACTTAATAGAATAAAATAGACTTGAGTAGATCCTCCTATGGCAGAGGGGCCTAGTACACAGGGTGTATTTCAGCACAGAGAGTAATTTATAGACAAACAAATGCAAAGAAGAACTGGATGCAGGGGGTTTGTTTGTTTTATGGTTTGGGTAATTATGCCAGTGATGTAAAACAACAACAACAACAACAACACACACACACACACCTCTAATGAACAAATAACAATGAAAAATAAATCCACATCCTGAATCCAACAAACAATGATCGTTCATCTATTACAGCGGTTCTCAACCTGTGGGTCGTGACCCCTTTGGGGGTCGAATGACCCTTTCACAGGGGTCGCCTAAGACCATCGGAAAACACATATATAATTACATATTGTTTTTGTGATTAATCACTATGCTTTAATTATGTTCAATTTGTAACAATGAAAATATATCCTGCATATCAGATATTTACATTATGATTCATAACTGTAGCAAAATTACAGTTATGAAGTAGCAACGAAAATAATTTTATGGTTGGGGGTCACCACAACATGAGGAACTGTATTAAAGGGTCGTGGCATTAGGAAGGTTGAGAACCACTGATCTATTATAACTGATCAAATTATGTGTGATCCACTAAAAAGTTATTCCTTCTCTGGTATGGCATTTATTTTTTGCCTCATATAGCCAGACATTTAAAAAAAAAAGATTGCAAAGGATATTTTTAAGTTTCTTTATATTAACTTTTTACATTAATGCCAATTTTCCACATTCTATTTTATGGCAATCATGCTGGGCACTTACTAGAAATGACCTCTCACTTAGAGAATAGATTATTCATTTGGGCCTTTTGGGGAATAATCCAGTGATGTGGCTGGTTTTGAATTAAAATGACAGAGCAATCAATGGTGAGACAGAAATGGAACATGAGATGAAACCAAGGAGCCAGAAGGGCAGGCAGCAAGCCCAATTCATGCAGGTTTGAAAGGTTTCTGAAAACTGTACAAAGAGGCTGCTCAGGTTTTCCGAGTAATCGCTCTTGCATCACAGGGGGGCATTTTGCAAGTTGTTTAATAAAAGGAACCGGATTTGGGACCAGCCACATTGGACTAAAAGTGACATTTTGCCCAATCTTCACATCTCCCCTCCCCAGTGCTTTCTGCTGCAGATTCCTGTCCTTATGTGCAGGTACCTTAGAAACTTGAGGGGAGGCCCCCAAAGGAAGACAGATGTTCCCACCCCAAACCACTTGTCATGGATTTAACGGTGTGCCCCAAAAGACAGTTCCAAGTCCTAATCTCTAGTATCTGTGACTGTGGCCTCCACTGGAAATAGGGTAGTAGGAGAAACAAATGAAACCAAGAAAAAGAACAACACGGTATAACAAGGCTTACAGAAACGTGCGGTTGTCAAAAAGGCAAGCCAAAGAAAACAGAACCAAGCAGGTGCCAGGGACAGAGGCAGGGAAGGGCAGCAGGCAGACCGGGATCTCCGAGGCTCTGCAGCAGGACCACAGCTCAGCTCCAGGCAGAGTGCTGAGGGCTGCCCTGTGAGCTCCTGGGGCAGGCTGCCACTAGACTATGGTGTCCCCAGGCTGCTGGGCTGGCGGTCACAGATCTGGTCTCTGCCCTGGCTATTAGCAGCTTCCTATTGGTTCACAGTTTCGGGATGTGTACACAGTTTCGGGATGTGTACATAATGTAAATGGATTTGCATCTTAGTTGGTTATTTCCAAATTAATCTCTACTTGGTTTCACGTTATCCATCAAAGAACTCAAAGCAAACTTTGGTTGAGGCAGAGCCACCAGGCTTGAGATGAATGAGATGAGTTTATTCTTTGAGTGAGTGTCCTGTAACCAGGCAGAGGAAGGATATTGCCCTTAAAAATCCTGCACCCACAGCCTCTACTGGGAGGCCAGGAAGGAGTACAGGGCCCAAGGAAGGAAGCACAGTTTTATTTGCATCATAAAGTAAAATTTTGAACAAAAGACTATTTCTAGGAGTGATTACAAGTGACAGCACAGGTCTTCTACCCACTTCAAAGAAAAGGAAGCATATTACACATTCTGAAAAGCAAATGAAAACCCAGTCAAGGGTAGTTTTTTCCAAGTAGTGTCAGCTTTTTTAGGCTTAGGAAACCTATAAAATATATTTTGAGACTTAAAGGAAATGAATTGATTCACATCTTTATCATTTACAAAGTTTGCCACTAGTGGAAAATAGTAACTTTCTTCCTTCTGTCTGTATCTAAGCCCACATACCCTGTGCCACCCAGTTTCTCCTGTGATAAGATGTTTGCAAGAAGGTAACTACAATGCACATCCTCAGAGTGTTATTAATATGACACTTTAGAGAAATTGTGTAAAAAAACCAGACTTCTTACCTGTCTACCCAGAACAAGCAGTGTGATGAAGAATATAAAGAGAGACACAGAGCCCATGGTCTTCAGGTCTTTCCAAATGCCTGGTCTATTAAAAACAAACAGACAAAAACAAATCAAAACAACATACACACAGGACTTAGAATCTGTGAATCGGCAAACTTCAGAAATTCTAGTTGAGTGTCTGCATTCCATTCTGGCCACACACACACACACACACACATCAAATATATTTTCAAACTCAGATTACATTAAAACAAAACAATCCTATTTTAAGAGCTTCATAAAACATTCTTCCAAATTGGTAAAGGTTTCTTATTTTATACCAAGCTCTAACAAATATTAGGGGAAGAAATGTTAATCTTATTTTCTTTATAGTTCGGGGATCATTATGGATAATCTCATATATTACTTTTTCAAATTTTCAAATTTTTCTTAGAAAGAACTTCATTTCTACACGCTATCACTTTCTCAAAAGCACCCATTCTTAGACCCTCTTTTATATGACTTTGTATCACAAAAGTGTAATGAAGTTGGAAACCCTTCATCCACCGGCCCACTTCCCCTCAGGTCCAGATAGATATCGGTAAATTATCCCTGCTCAAGTTCTCACATCCTTACCACAACATTCCAGGCAGCGACCTTCCACACATCCAAGTTGGCATGTGGGTTGGTCAATTTTATGTGTCAACTTCAGTGGGCCACAGGGTGCCCAGCTAGTTAGTCAAATACTACTCTGGGTGTTTCTGTGAGAATATTTTTTGGGTAAGATCAACATTGAAATTGGTAGGTTAAATAAAGCCATTGTCCTCTGCAATATGGGTGGGCCTCATCCAAACAGTTGAAGGCATCAACAATAGAAAAGGCTGATCTTCTTTTGAGCAAGAGAGAATTCTCTCTGGCCTGACTACCTTTGAACTGGAACATTGATTCCTCCTGGTTCTACAGCAGCTCCTGGCCTCCAGACTCAAACCAAGACACTGGCTTTGCAGATTTTGGATTTGCCAACCCCCTTAATCACATGAGCCAATTCCTTGTGGCAATCATATCTATACCTCCTATAGGTTCTGTTTTTCCTGAAAACAATGAGAAATACAGCATGCAAAGGAAAATCTGCCATCCCAGGACAGTCCTGCATAAGCTGACAAAGAATAATTTCCCACATAGCTCTGTAAGACCTGAAAAAACAGTTGATTTAGTATGACACCGTGTCGCATAAGCATCATAGGTTGTATTTAATCAAGTATAAATATCACGTAATCACTTTGTTTGTGAGTTGAAGTTGCTTTGAGATTTTTCTGTTTCTCTATGGAAGGTTCATGTAATCTTTTTTAAAAAAAATATTTTATTTTTTCAATAGTTTTTCTTTTTAAAATATATTTTATTGATTTTTTTCTTTTTTTAAATTGATTTCAGAGAGAGGAAAGGAGAGGGATAGAGAGTTAGAAACATAGATTACAGAGAAACATCTATCAGTGGCCTCCTGAACACCCCCTACTGGGGATGTGCCTGCAACCAAGGTACATGCCCTTGACCAGAATCGAACCCGGGACCCTTCAGTCCGCAGGCCGATGCTCTATCCACTGAGCCAAATCGGTTAGGGGCCAGGATATAATCTTGACTCCTCCTTCTTTGGCAAGCTGTGGGCCCTGGGATTAACCCCTTGAAACTACACTTTCCTCATCAGCCAAACGGGGTACCAATACCTACCTTATGGGCTGCTTCCATAACTAAATCAAATAGTTATATACCTGGCAGAGAGCCTGACACCGAGGAAGCACTGCATAAAGGGCACTCATGACTTTAGGTATTAACTACAGGGAGATGGGGTGGGCGATGGAACTGGGAAGGATACACAAATGCTGATTGGAGGATATCATTAACAGAATAAAAGATCCAAGTGTAAAGCAGAAGTGGATTCCTACATCAATGAGGACACAGTTGCCCAGTCCCTGTGGTTTAAGACTCAGGACCGCAGAGAACTCGCCAGAAACTGGTGGTGCTTGCATTCAGGGCTCTCTCCTCCCTACCAAGCCAGCTATGTCTGGAAGAATCTGAGCTCTTCAGCCAGCAGGTCAGCAGTTTCTCTCTGAGAATGAAGTAAGCTGAAAAGTGCCATTTTCCTGTCTCACTCATATTGATTTTAAGAAATGAAGCTCCATTTTGAGCCAGTGGCAGCTGTGTCTAACAGCACAGTTGAAGGGGCTCAGGGGAGCAGTTGTTTATAAACAGTGCTGACTGCAATGAATGTTAAGCTCATCTTTTTTCTGTACTGACTATATTGACATGATCTTGACCAGTTAGTAAAAGTGGTACAATACAGCCAAACAGCCTAAGAAGCTGGCACAGGCTGAGTTTTGAATTTTCATATTGTCTTTTGAACACCTTATTACTTTGAACCAGGGGTCTGAGAAAGCAGCTATGCCACCCCCCTCTTCCACTTACCACCTCTGTAAACCCCAAACTAAGAGTGAAATGTTGACTCCCAGGTCAAGATCTTACATTAGCATCATTGGCATAACCAATCAGAACTCAGGTCTCATTGGTATGCCCAGGAAAGGGACCTGATGCCCCAAATATGCCAGCTCAGGTCCCTGTCACTGGGGGAGAATGGGAGGAGGTCCCTCTTAATGTAATCCAGGTCCTGCCTGGGTTTGCAGTTACTCACACAGAAAATATATGTAAGCAACCTATGGGAACAATCCTTTCCCAGAACGCCTCACATCGATGCACTTGAGCATTGGTTTAGGGGTGGAAGTATCCTGCTCCCCACTCCCACATCTTGAGCCTCAGTGAAGAATAGTGGTGGCTGGAAGTAGGTACTTGGACGAAGCAAGGTAAGGGAGGACTCTCATGCTGAACTTGGCAGTGGGTTTGAAAGTACAGACCAAAATGGACCTCAGACAATAAGAAGGCACAACCCAGATGTAGAGCAGACTTGTGTACCGACACATGGATGCCTTTTTCACTTCTGAAAATCTCTGTACTAGGAAGAACTGCACCTTGCTTTCTTGAGTTTCATTTAGATGTCTTTAAAACTTCTTTTATTCATCCAGCCAAAAAAGATTTGCCTTCTCCCACCGGAGCCCTTCTCTCCCATGGGGGCCTCCAAGGGATGCATGCTGCCAGGGCTCCTGTAGTTCCAATGGCGAACTTCTCCATCCACAAATTCATTCCTGGTTACCATGCTCTTTGTGTGTATGTGGGGGAGGAGGGGAGGAAAAGGAATGTGTAATGTGGAGGGAGCATCGGAAGAGATGGAATAAAAGGGTAGGATGTCCTCCTGGCAGAGTCTAGTCAACTGTGTGGATCACTGTATTAGTTTCACAGGGCTGCCGAAACATAGTACCACGCACTGGGTGGCTTAACACAATAGGAATTTATTGTCTCACAGTCCTGGAAGCCAGAAGTCTGAAACCCAGGTGCTGGCAGGGCGATGCTCCCTCTGACACTTGCTGAGAAATCCTTTTTGCCTCATCCTGGCTTCTGGTCACATCGACGCACTCTCTGGCGCTCCTTGGCTCACTCCTGCATCACCCCAATCTCTGTCTCATCATCACATGTGTCCTCCCAGTGTGTCTCCTTCTTCACATGGCCATCTTCTTATAAGGACACCAACCATGTTGGATTAGCACCCACCCTGCTCCAGTAGGACCTCATCTTAGCTATCACGTCTGCAATAACCCTGATTCCAAGTAGATTCATGTTGTGAGGTGTGGGGGGTTAGGACTTCAGCAGGTCTTCTTTTGAGGGACACAGTTCTACCCATAACAATTATGTTAGCTATTTATATAAAAAATGACAGCTAGTTGGGTATGAGGCCTCTTTTTCTCTCCCCCTCTTTGAGTTTTAAGGATAAGGTCCATTTCAGACTTTCATGTGTGAGGGTTGTGCTATCACCGAGTTATACAGTAGGGGAGACAGAGCTGATATAATTGAGAAAGTTTCTAACTCGATGATTCTTATCTTGATGACAGTTTCAGTCAAAATGTGACCAAATATGTTTTCTTTAATAGCTCAAAATTGGACTCTGGAGATGTAGATATCCAAGTACGCCTGTAGCCACACACTAATTTGCAGTTGGCCTTCGCCCTGAGGCTGTTCATGGGGTACTCATTCTGGCCCTCAAGTTTTGAGAGTCCAAAAGAACAAAGAAACCTAACAAACTGGGTGGCAGATATGGAGGGATTACGTGGTGAACCAGTTTCTAACCTAAAGGCAAACAGTTCTGGTGAGGTAAAAATGACATTTTCATTCTCTGAGGAGAGAAAGCAGTCCAGGCATATGGACACAAATATAATCCTTAAAATTTTTTTCTTGGTGAAATGAGCCTCTATTTTTAATTTTTTTTTTCAATTTTAAAGGACTCAGTTTATTAATTGACCAGATTACAAAAATAACCATGGTAGATACCTTAGTTCATTCTCCTAATAAGCCTATTGATCTGGTCTTCCCTGTTCCCAGCATCTCCACCTTCTACACAGTGGGTGGTTTTTCTCTTCACCCCAGCTCCTGGAGAAGATAACTTGAAGGGCCACAGGAAGTTGTTACTTCTTTGAAGCACTATCCAACAATATAGATCTCATGAATCAGATCTTCCATGCAGGTGATGCCATAATTACCAAGAGATCAAGCAATCAATGAGTTATCTGTCAGGGCAGTTTGTTTTTTGTTGATTGTGCCATAACCACGCTTGTAGATCAATTCATTTACTGACTTCAGTAATATATGGTCCCACAATCCTCAGCATGTTCATGGAAGCCTTGTTGAGCTTAACAAAGGTGCCACTGAAGATTTGGCAAAGGCAAAGAAGATGCAGCACCTTTTGGACCTTTGGGCTCACACCATTGATACCTTTGATCCTGATGACAAATGCCAATTTCGGTTCGGCAGGTACATAGAAGTTGCCAGCTTTTCTTGCCATCCTGGTCATTCGAAGCTCAGTTCTGTACATCGTCTTGTATTCCTTGTGATAGTGCTTAGCTTTTTCATAGATGAGCTTCCTTCTTGCTTTCGAAGCATCTTTTGGGCAAACTTCTTTCTCAGGTGCTTGATCTTCAGTTCTGCGAAATTCCTTCGCTTTTTCTT